ATTGCTAAAAGCGGCATAAAACCATACTCACTCACTATAATTTATGTACATCATCATGTGTCTTCTTTTCAACATTTTAAATATAGTAGTGGCTAAAATAGATTGTAAACAGATTCCATTCATTATGTAAAAAAGGGGCTATTTGACTTGTGCTATAATTAAGAGCGTATGACGTAAATCTTTATGGAATCTGCATTGGTTAAAGAAACAACGCTCATCACGGTTCTTGATCAAAAGTCAAAGGCACTCGAATCTGACTGTCCACTCTGATGTGTTTAATACATTCGCTTATAGTCATCAGTCATACACACCTGTAATATTAAAACAACTCATTCAACTTAATAACGTCAACATTTTAAATTTCTTTATTTGTTGTTTAACGCCTCATTCAGCAATATTCGAGCTTGAGGTCGGCGGTTTGTAAATAATCTATCTGGTCTAGAAAATCCAGATATTGACATCTTGAACATCGATCTACGCAATTCGGATACGATGACATGCATCACCCAAGTCAGCGAGCCCGACCACCCGATCAAGTCAGTCTCTTACGACAATCATGGGTTCCCCGAAGACCCATTCTTACCCGGATCTTGGGGGGACCAACATATTAGAACCTTACCTGTGTGATAAGACAAACATCTAGTCTCTGAAATGAACATATTTTACCGATAAAACGCTGTTAAATTATAGTTATGAAATATAATAAAAAGGAGCCCAGAGACTCTCTCCATTTTCAGATACTGCAGTTATCTAAACTTGCAAAATAGTATAGACTTGCATGGGCTGTGTTGTATATATTTGTTTAAGGGTCTGTATGACTATTGTGTGATGTTCGCGATAGAAGAACTTGTCTGTTGGTCGACTAGTGGTAATATCTTTTCTGACTGGTTGTTTGTTAGGGCATCGTTGAATCGTTGCTCAACCACTTATTTCCAGGAGACCCGTGAAGATTCCGGGGTAGAATAGGTCTTCAGCAACCATGCTTGTCGTAAAAGGTGACTATGCTTGTCGTAAAAGGCGACTAACGGGATCGGGTGGTCAGGCTCGCTGACTTGGTTGATGCACGTCATCGATCCCAATTGCGTGGATCGATGCTCATGATATCGATCACTGGATTGTCTGGTCCATACTCGATTATTTACAGACCGCCGTCATATAGCTGGAATATTGCTGAGTTCGGCGTTAAACAACAAACCAACAACAACAATTTGCAGGATGTTATGTTGTAGCAGAAACGTCCGGTTCTGCGGCATAAAACACTTTCATTCGCTCTTTGATAATTAGCAAACGAAGCAAATATTGATGCTTCACACAACTTGAAACAACAATGAAAACACTCAGTTGAATTGCTCAAGAAGTGATACAGCGGGACATGCAGGTGGTGATGACTAGTGAAACAGTGACAATATTTTATAGTGAGTGAGTGAGTTTATGTTTTACGTCACATCGGCAATATTTCAGCCATATCGTGACGACAATATTTTATAAACTATATAAACAGATACATAAGAAGTAAGGATAACAATACAAAGTACCTTCACAAATTATTATGTTTTGACCTTGGAGTATCTATAATAAGTATTTCAAATTTATTTGAAGTTGTACACAGATATTTCTTCGTTACCTGGTTCATTATTTGAAATAAAATAGATTAAAAATGTCGTTGATGTTATGGCTTTCAACATAATTATTTTTTAAGGAAAGGGAATTAAACAGTGAGTGTCCTACATCTAAATATTTAATAAAAGACATCAGAGAGTGTTCTTCATCTTCAAGGGCTAAGCTGTTCAATTTTTTAGTCCATGACGCCACTCCACGGAGCTAAGCACCCTATAGCTACCGCGCCAACTGTCACGGGGCGGAAGCTGTTCTACGTGCGTCTTACCGGTTCTCACTGAGTAACATAATACTGGTTCTCACTGAGTAACATGATACTGGTTCTCACTGAGTAACATGATACTGGTTCTCACTGAGTAACATAATACTGGTTCTCACTGAGTAACATAATACTGGTTCTCACTGAGTAACATGATACTGGTTCTCACTGAGTAACATAATACTGGTTCTCACTGAGTAACATGATACTGGTTCTCACTGAGTAACATGATACCGGTTCTCACTGAGTAACATAATACTGGTTCTCACTGAGTAACATGATACTGGTTCTCACTGAGTAACATGATACCGGTTCTCACTGAGTAACATAATACCGGTTCTCACTGAGTAACATGATACCGGTTCTCACTGAGTAACATAATACTGGTTCTCACTGAGTAACATGATACTGGTTCTCACTGAGTAACATGATACTGGTTCTCACTGAGTAACATAATACTGGTTCTCACTGAGTAACATGATACTGGTTCTCACTGAGTAACATAATACCGGTTCTCACTGAGTAACATAATACTGGTTCTCACTGAGTAACATAATACCGGTTCTCACTGAGTAACATGATACTGGTTCTCACTGAGTAACATAATACTGGTTCTCACTGAGTAACATGATACTGGTTCTCACTGAGTAACATAATACTGGTTCTCACTGAGTAACATAATACTGGTTCTCACTGAGTAACATGATACCGGTTCTCACTGAGTAACATGATACTGGTTCTCACTGAGTAACATAATAACAACCCTAATAGGCTAGAGGAAAGGTTTCATTATCACCGAACATCGACTGGTTGTCATTGTCTTCGGCAATATTGCTGTTATTGCGGTCTTACGTACCAGGATTATCGGAAATGTCCGTATTCATGTATTCAGGCTCAACATGCCACTATTGTATTCTAATTGACACAATGTAGGCCTGTGTTCTGTTTTCCCTATCAGTACTCGAACTGTAACAAGTACGCTTCAGCGTGAACTAACTGAGCGTCACATAAATATAATTGACCAATCCACGTCTGTGTTTAACAGTTTTCCTTGTCAATGAACTTCATCCAATACGCTGTGCCTGGAGAGATGAAGGTCAATGGTTCGATGCCCTGGCCGCGTCATACCAAAGACGGTAAAAGATGCTGCCAGAGGCCATTTTCATTTTATGGTCTCTGGTGGTACTTGTTGTTAACTTGCCTGGCGCTCGCATTGAGAGGACAGAGCAAGGACTAGTCGTCTCAGAATATGTTACATGTGTTTTGTGTGATATCCATTTGAACGCGACGTTAAAGCCCATTTCACTTCACGTCACTTTATATAATTAGTATAGCAGGAGTGAGTGAGTGTTATGGTTTTACGCCGCTTTTAGCAATATTACAGCAATATCACGGCGGGGGACACCAGAAATGGGCTTCACACATTGTACCCATGTCGGGAATCGAACCCGGGTCTTCGGCGTGACGTAGTATAGCAGGAATCATCAGCGTAGGTATGTTGGAATTTTATCCTGTCTTCCTTGAACATATGGTCCCGATACATTTGGATTATACTGAAAGCCACCAATTATATACCAGTACATCAATCTTCAAAACAAACAACACTGGCGCATGTTTTCGTAGTTTGAATGTTGGTGTCAATAATATTGATACGGGAATCGGGTGAGAAGGGGAGGTGTTTATCCCCTTACAAACCGTAGAGCGTATATGTTGTAGAGCAATCATCATCCTTTCAGTTCTAGCATCCAATTCTCACCGTATGAAGTTACTCCAGCATTTCTTTATTGTAATATATTATTAAAATATTATACACAATTATATATCTGGACCACATGCTGGGGACGTACGTACAGATGAGAGGCAGTCTGAGAAGACCGACCTTCACTGTGTGGAATTAGACACCGACACAGAAGATCGATAGGCTGACTCTTCCATATCGAGTTACACACCTACAGACCAGCTCGCAGATTGTATTACACACATACTGTTTGCCTTGCTCCAAGGCTGTACGGAGAGATAAGTCCATGGGTGTGTAGTAATTCTATCCTTACAATAGGCAAGTCTAGATAAGCGGACAGTAAGGACGCCAGGATGTATCTTAAATTTTCAACATAGCATCTTGAAATTACAACTTAATATCTTGAAATTTCAACATAACATCTGGAAATTTCAACTTAGTATCTTGAAATTTCAAGATAATGAGTTGAAAGTTTAAGTTATAATCTTAAAATTTCAAGGTAATATCTTGAAATTTCAATATCATTATCTTGAAATTTCAACTTAGTATGTATCTTGAAATTTCAACATAACATCTTGACATTTCAAGTTAGTATATATCTAACAAATGGCCCTAAAAGGCTTCCGTACGAACTAGTCAAGAGGTCTCCCTATTGCACGACAGTGTAATAGTCTCGATAAACTATGAAACGTCGATGTTTTGTCTTCGGAATGATCAGCATAAAATATGTCCAACAATTTATCATACATATCTGACTAATTAAAAAGAAATGATGAAATAAGTAATTATTTATAGAATCTTAAATCAGAAAAGTTTATGTGTCAATGCTGATGATTGCAACGTACACTTAACCTGTGGTATGTATTTGATACTCAATATTTTTAGACAATAAAGATAAATGTTAGACATCTTGTATGAAGTCGTCAGTCAAAATTCGAGTTATTTAAAAGCATTGTGGGACATTGATTATCTCTATAATGCACCTGATCCACATTTTTGAAAAAGATTGGAACAAATGGCTGTATCTGTATGAGCGTGTTAATAAATCTAATGGCATCGTGTATAGAATAGGATCAAGAGTGTTAGCGGCTGGTCAAGGGACACACACACACACACACACACACACACACACGCACGCACGCACGCACGCACGCACGCACGCACGCACGCACGCACACACACACACACGTTGCTTTATAAGTGCAATAGTCTTGGACGCGACATTAAACCCCATTTCACCTCACCTCACTTAATGGACATATGCCATGAAATTCTAACCCTGTATGATTAGCTTGACCTTGTGCCCATTGCCTGACGCCTGTAACGTAACCCTCGCCTCGCGAGGATGATGTAATAACAGCAGCGTGCAGCGCCAACATTCCCGACATCGTGTTCACGGTCAGGGTACACTCATTGCCAGCCCACGTTTTCATTGAAACAGACACGTGTGCTCATCCCCCGCTCAACGGTATTCCTCCGCCGAGTGCTTGTGTTTCCCATAAGAGGTCAATGCGCCTGGAAGGTGTCGTCTGCTGCTCGTTGCTTCCGGTTTGCCGTGTTACCGACTATCTTCGTTAGGACCAGGTTCAGTTTTGGACAATTGGAGGTATGTGTGTCTTCTGTAAGGATCTTTGGCATGGGGTTTGAGTATATTACATTCGTTTTACTAATCTGAGTGTTAAGAATGTGCAGTCAGTGCCTGCAGTTTATTTCTATTGGTTTCGAGTTTCACAAATTGACTATTTTTAGACCCATCTGGTGCTCCTCTACCTTTACGTTCTAGAACGCAGTTGAGAAAACAGGATTCCGTGAAATACTATTGATGTTGCCAACATGAGTAGATTAAAATTAAAAAAACACACGTCGGATCATGCCCGATATCGACAAATATGTCAGAGGTTTTAAAAAAACAGATTTCAAGACGTTTAAAGACAAATCCTTGAGGGGACATGGTATTGATTTTGATTGCTTTTAAAGTCCTGGAATTTCAACAGAGTGGGAAGAACTAATTTACTTGTAGCTTCGGAATAGCGGTTATCTAGCACCGCTCGTTACTGTCTTCATGGAGATGTATAGCAATTGTTCCTCCCGCGTGTTATATGCGTGTTATATATAACATGTGTCTAAGGCGTGTTCTATACTTACTTGTTCCTTATTCTGCAGAGTCACTGCCAAATTATTGTGTCCATATTTTCTCTCTCAGTCTGTCTCTCCTTTCTCACACAACCATATTAACATGTGTTTATACACATGAGGACGGGTCAAGGAATATTTGCGGGGTGAGGGATGACAGAGTATGCACTTCAGATGCAGTGTATTTGTGTGTGTGTGTGTGTGTGTGTGTGTGTGTGTGTGTGTGTGTGTGTGTGTGTGTGTGTGTGTGTGTGTGTGTGCGCGCGCGCGTGCGTGTGTGTGTGTGTGTGTGTGTGTGTGTTCTTTCAATACGCGATGCTATTGGACACGCCCATCGATACATTTGATCCTAATGAACGAACTTACCCCGAAACGAACTGCTTATAATAGTAGACTTGCACACGTCTCTAAGGCAATAATTATTAGTTTTAACTATAAGTTCCAGATCATGTAAATAATAAGGACAAGTTGTCCCTATAAGAGACCAGAGTCCTTTAGTCACTGTCCACATATCTAGACTTGCCTATTTGGAGGATAGAATTACTACACATCCATGGATTTTTCTTTCAGTATAGCCTTGGAGCAAAGCTATACTTATTGTAATGTTCATAAATAGATTATCTGCCGTAATTACGCTTTTAATTATTCATTAGAAAATCAATGGTAGAAATAATCCTGCATAATATTACTAACGGCCGTATTGTGCTTGTGTCTAATATTTTGATATGTTATCGACGTACACGTAATACATGTAATCAGTGCATGTGATGCTACAAGAATCAATGTTACCTTTAACCCCGGCTCCTTGTCTATTTGCACCACAGGGGTGATCCTGTTACAACAGGCCCCCACTACATCCGCGTTCCATTGTAACGCTACTATAATAAGTACACATTTAGCTGAAATAGTTTCTAACCAAACATACGAATAATGAAAAATGTAGGCCTATATTCCAGTCACTGATAACACATTTGAAACAATCACAACTGCGTCCCGTAATATCGTGGACGTGGTGAGCCTTGACCTAACATACTGAGCTTATTTTAAGAAAACACGTTCAGCTTAGATGGAGGAAGAGCTCCTGCTGCGAACAATAGCATTTCGCCGATGTAACTGTTATCTTGAGTGTGTGCTTTCAAAATGATATGGATGTTATTTTTTGAAAGGTTGGGCTAGTCGCATTTAATTAATGACGCATTTAAGGTAGGTGTATATACTCCCATTTTATTATTTATACTATTTAGAGCTTAAATTATCGTTTGATAGATAAACATTATATATATTATTATATATTTTGATATATGTTTTTTTTTATAATTAAATATAAAATGTCAGTGCACTTGAACAACCTGTGTTGATTCCCCTAAACAGATTCTATTTAACTTAAAGGGTAAATAGCTTTGAAAACTATATGATTAGGCCACTGAAAATCAGTATTGACACCAGGTGTTCTCGAACAGGGTAAGCATGTCCTGCCCTACCGGTAGTACCGCAGTTCACACAATTTGGATAAAAAATACTTACTTTTATTTGTTGCCTGGCCCCGTACAGCAGTACTCTTGCATTAAACTTAAATAATAATTAAAGTAGACCAAATTGTGGAAACCCAAACACAAAGATTGGTGTCTATTGTAACCTGCTGTGTACGTTGAAGACGGGTGTTTTACCTGATAACCGAGTCGATGTATAGTAAGGTGAAATTACCTCTCATAATAAGTGTGCAGCTTGTCAGTGAACCGGTACATGAACGGCGTCGCCGGGGTAACAAGAGCTGAAACACAGGAACAGGCGCCCACACGTCGTGTCAGACATCACGCCGAGTGCTGGCTCGTAACTGTCAAGCAGACTTTGCTGCCAGCAAGAAATGCTATACGATGAACTAGGGGTACTCCTTGATGTACAACTGCGGTCGTGTAGCTGGAATACTTCTGAGAATAAAATAACAATCCTACCCTCAGATACACCACAGTAGTCCTGTCCCATGACTGTAGAATATATCTATTTCATAAACCAAAACCAAACTAGATACATATAAACAAAAACAAATCTCGTCAGCTCTAGCCAGCTCTATTCCATTGAAATCAGCATTAGGATTTTTTTGTTTTAATTTTAGGAGAGAGAAATGTATTGTATCATTTAGGATTATTAATAATTGTGTTTATGAATCCACTTCAGAGTGTTCTCGTCCTGTCCTAGCCTGTCTTACAGACCCTGATACAAATATATATCAAATACAGCCCATGCAAGTCTATAATGTTTGGCAAGTCTAGATCACTGCAGTATCTGAAAATGAAGAGAGTCACTGGGCTCCTTTTTATTATATTTTGATTAAGATATCTGAACAACTGTTTTTTTATGTACTATATTGTTATTTCAGAGACTAGATGTTAGTCTAGTCCTGTCCCATGACTGTGGAATATGTATGGTAAGAAAATCAAGGATCAAGCATTTTTATTGTACAGAACACCCTCGGAGGGCAGGGTATAACTATTTACATGTGGGAATATATATAACTATACACATGAGAGGTAGATATACTTAATGTACATTATATATATAAATATTACATATTATTTCCATTCATACCGTATAAACAAAAACAAAATATTATATGAAAACGAAACCAATCTAGATTAAAATAATAACAAGTCTAGCCAGCTATAGCCAGCTCTATCCCACTATGAAATCAGCATCAGGAAACTCAATTGTTTTAATTTAGGGGAGAGAAATGTGTTGTGTGACAAAACAAATCTGAACGTTTTATTGAGTCCTTGAAAGTTGTAAGCAATTGTTTTAACGTTAGGCTCATCGCTGTTGGCTGAGTCTTTATCATCACGTCTTGATATTATCGGCGTGAAGAGCGCAGAGACACAGCTGAATTATGTCTGGAGTGAGGGGGGATGTGCTGTTTTCTCTATGTCAGTTGATTAGGCTTATATTAGTGAGTGGTCTAAAGTGAATTTTACACCACAGTTAATTTTACACTTTTTGACAGCTATTTTCCCCTTTAAGCCATATGGAATCTGTTTCGGAGGATTATCAAGACTGGTTGTTCTCTTGCATCTCTTGAGGCCACTGAAACATTTGGATGGACCACTTTTTCAGATGTTGTTATAAGCTACAATAACCACTCGCCCCGAAATGTGCCGGTTCTCATACTGTACAGTATGTAGAGTCTCTCAAACAAACCTTGAAACAAAAAACTCCCAAATAAGGCTAGATTTCTTACGTTTCAGGCTGCAAATAGAGATTGTCTGTTCCCTTTCTATTACATTTTAAGACAAATCAGCAAAAGCAAATCTTAAATATTTTGGAGAATAAATGTTAGTTTATGTCAACCCCTAAACCCTAAGGGGCGGTCGGGTAGCCAAGTGGTTAAAGCGTTCGCTCGTCACGCCGAAGACCCGGGTTCGATTCCCGACATGGGTACAATGTGTGGAGCCCATTTCTGGTGTCCCCCGCTGTGATATTGCTGGAATATTGCTAAAAGCGGTGTAAAACCATAATCACTCACTCACTCACTAAACCCTCAATATTATTACGCTTTCTTCAAATGGCACGCAATGCTCCAAAACACAATGCTTCACATTGACTTAACCACCTTTCTGTCAGAGTTAGGGGAATTGATAGCGTCCCTTGTACCCAACCCAGTTAGAGCGATGCTCGGGGGCACGGGTTGCCCAGTCGCCTAAGGCGCCGCGATTCGCTGTGCAGAGTTGCGTCCCTTGGGCACGCCAGAAACCTATGATTGTGGTTTCGAATCCCGGTTCGCCCCGATTATGTTTCTAGGATTTTAGCACCATACCCGTGCTCGTGGGTTTCACCGAAGTGGTAAACGTCTTAGACCTGCATCACTTCGGGCTTTCCTCCCACATTAAGCTGACACGCCGCGATATAACTGGGATACTGTTAAAAGCGGCGTTAAACCCAACTCACTCACTCACTAGAGCGATGCTCATGCTATTGACCACTGGTTTAGCCTGTTAGGGTACGTTTATAGCTAAATGGCTTAATGTTCCTGCCTACACCATACCACACTATCCATCCTTGCCATTGGAAACAACTTATGCACGTTTGAGGTGTGACGTTTGGGAATTCCACTTCCTGATGCAAGAGATGTAATCCAATTAAGAGGCGAGCATTTGTTCTGTAACCGGAAGCTGCAGGCAATGATTCTCTCGAACGTAATGAACACATTCTATTCGCTGAGTGGTCCTGTCAAAAGATTACTTTAGCAGGTCTCGTGTTTCAGACAAAACCACACGGATGTAATTAGTCTTTTTGTCTATTATTACACAAATCACATCCAGTAGGACATCAATATGTCGCAATAAACCATTATTTTATCCATTCCGTGTAATTAATTTTAGTCAGAATTTCTTGGGGATTATGTTCGATAACTTGATGTGTTCATCTTCTGAAACAGACAAGGACTTCTTCAAAAGAAAAGCTGATCGTTGTTCTGGTTTTGTTCCATGATCGCTTCAACACACTAACGCCGGTATGTGGCTCAGCAATATTCCAGCTATATGACGGCGGTCTGTAAATAATCGGGTCTGGACCAGATCCACGCAATTGGGATATGCATCAAGCAAGTGGGCGAAACTGACCACCCGATCCCGTAGTCGCCTCTTACGACAAGCATAGTCGCCTTTTATATAATTCAACATTCTCTGAAGATACCGACTGTGAAACCTAATGCAGAAGTGTCACTTACTCTGTGCAGGAAAGAGGGTTTGTACATATGCGGAGGATGAGTAGCGCGCACACGCACACACACACACACACACACACACACACACACACACACACACACGCACACACACATACACACACACACATACCGATGTAGAAGTGTCACTCAATGCAGGAAAGAGGGTTTGTGCATATGTGCTGAGACATGTCATGACATCCACTAAGTGAGTGAGTATGTTTTACGCCGCTTTTAGCAATATTCAAGCATCACGGCTGGGGACACCAGAAATAGGCTTCACACATTTTGCCCGTGTGGAGAATCGAACTCGGGTCGTCAGCTTGACGAGCGAACGCTTTAACCACTAGGCTACCCAACCGCCCCATGACACCCACTAACTATGGGTAGATGACACTTAGTGACAACATAGGAACAGAAGCGTACTTACTTATGGGGTCCTCCCATATTGATACTCCGTGTACTAATAGATAGAGTGTGTACCCGGAGAGCGGAAGGTCGCTGGTTCGATCCCCTGACAGCGTCGGATGTTAGAATATGGTACTTATTGTTACCCTGCCTGGCGCTCGGCATGAAGGCGATAAAACAGGTATTAGTCGCCTTGGAGTCAGTATACTGTGTATGAGTGGGGTATGCATGTAACTTCGCTGTTATTTGAGTAATCATTAATATCATCTGTGTAATAATGATCAATAACGTTCGAGTTGCGCCTCTTTATCGTGTCTGCATCCTGTAGGTCCGACCCCAACTTAGTCCCGATTATGTATATAGATAGAATGGAATAACCAGTTTAATCACTGTCTCTGGCATCTCCGGTCCTCTCATACGTACATACATCTGATAGGACAAGTGATTGCCCAAAGGCGTTGCTCCGTGAATTACCATCGATCTTTCGAATACTGGTTCAGCATACAGGCCCGTAAATATCCGGGTAAGAATAGGTCTTCAGTGACCCAAGACCCGGTTTGATTCCCGACATGGGTACAATGTGTGAAGCCCATTTCTGGTGTCCCCCGCTGTGATATTGCTGTTATATTGCTAAAAGCGGCGTAAAACCATGCTCACTCACTTTTCAGTAACCCGTGCTTGTCGTAAGAGGCGAATAACGGGTTCATGTGGTCAGGCTCGCTGACTTGGTTGATGCATGTCATCGCATCCCAGATTGCGTGGATCGATGCTCATCATATCAGTCACTGGTTTATCTGGTTCAAACTCGATTATTTACAGACCGCCGTCATATCGCTAGATTATTGCTGAGTGCGGCGTTCAACAACAAACAAATAGGTGCTACACCTATATCAAGGTCGTCTGTACACAAACAGTGGATTTCTAGCACGGCAACAATTTACGCTGTCTCGATCCGATGACATATCCAGGTTAATCTTTGTAATTACCCGCTCATCAGTACTGGGAAGGTATATTCTGAGCCGTAATACTTCAACAAAAATCCCAATGATCTCCCAATGGTTGTAACGGAGGCTTAGACACCCTAAATCTCATTGATCTAACAGTGGGATCGTCTTCAAACACTCGGGAAACCGCAGAAGATCCCCTGCCATTCATCAAAATGCCAATATTTGCCGTGAGAACAAAGATTGGTTTAATTCCAAGTTGAACGATTTAAATGGCATTGCCGATCAACTCATTGCTATCACCGCCAAGGTGTCCTCTATGAATGTCATCGGACAGTCTGCACCACCGGGCGTCAATGGCTGCTCCATCAATCGATTGTTCTTTTCCGCTAATTGGTGGAATGAATCGATTTGAAGCCAGGCACTTTTGCATCAATTCGCCTCTTGTGTCTCCCAGCCGTTGCTGCCATCATTCAAAATCTGAAACGTGACCTCCACTGTATAAGCACACACACTGTAGCGGCTCGGGAGAGCTGTTGAACACAGACACATGGGGAGACGGGTCTTTATAGCCCACGATAGAAACAGTAGGATGTTGATTACAGTATCGGTAACGCGGTCAGTCTGACATGCGTGGAACTCGGTTCCTCTGATGTCAGTGATTCGTAAGAGAAGAGAACGATGATTTATATATTTATTGAAATTATAATTAATCCAACAGCGAAAATCATGATGTTTTGATCATTGGACCCATCTCTAAATAGACATTATCCCATCATGAGGCACACAGACTAACATCTAGTCTCTGAAATGAACTATTTTGCCGAAAATAGTTGTTACATTATAGTTATAAAATATAATAAAAAGGAGCCCAGTTCCTTTCTTCAATTTCAGATACTAAAGTAATCTAGACTTGCCAAATATTATAGACTGTCATGGGCTGTATTGGATATTTTGTTTTTAGGATATGTATGGCAGACTATGAAATATGAATTGTTATAGGGGCGGTGGGGTAGAAAAGTGGTTAAAGCGTTCGCTCGTCAGGCCGAAGACCCGGGTTCCCATTTCTGGTGTCCCCCACCAATTCTATTGCTCTGAGCGGCGTAAAACAATACTCATTCACCCACCTATATGCCAATGATGGTAATAAAGTCCATGTTAGTCCGAGGTTAAATATATTGTAGAATAATTGTGGGTCAGACCAGAAGATAATTATATATTCTATGAATCTCACTATCTTCTCCCACGCCACTTCTGACCATGGACTGAACAATTTAATCAGACAGGAGAGTGAGGGATAATGGTTGCGCTCTCCGACAAGGACGTCTGTATTTTGCCTGCGTACCTGCGTGCCTGCGTGTCTGCGTGCCTGCGTGTTGCTCATCCTCCGTGGTCCTAAATAATGGTCCCACTCAAAGATTAAGATCGCACGCTTGTATATACATCATCCCGCCTCTTGCTTGTATTTTATTAATGTCTAATTATTCATCTGGTATTCCATCGCCTGAAGATGTATTAATATCAGTCGAAAAAAGAGTTTTCGTAGGAAAACATTCATGTTTACTAAATAGGTTGTTCTTCCTGTCCTCATTTTCAGAACATAAAAAAAACATGAAGGCGAAAGATGTTTTGTGATAAATTAACATCGACATAAACAACAGTTCGAGATATCACATATATTTCTAGGGGCACATTAGCCCAGTGAACCGAGACACTGAAATTCGCTATGGGGTGTTGCGTCCCTTAGTTGTGTCAGGATCCACCGATCGCGGGTTTGAATCCCTATGATATTTGGTCCGTCAGCACCACACATGTGCTCGGGGGTTTCATCGCTTTGGGACTTCTTCCTTTAGCAGACACGCCATAATGTAACAGACAACCGTTCAAAGCTGCTAAAAAAAACAAAGCTATTCACTGAGGCATTCGGTACATATGTTTCCTGCTTGTGCACGGTTAACGCAATCAAAAATACTAATATATTAACCTTCACTAAGTAAACCTACACACATGCATGGCATTTAATTTCACCTGGACTGTGCATCTTGTTTGCTTTTGATAACGCCTTGGCTGTCGTTATGGGTAACACTTCCAAGACATGGAGCAACAAGACTGCATGCTATGGACACGTGAGTATGTGCATTGTTGTTTTATTCGTCACTCTAACCTTCGAAAGTATTTGTCGAAAGACTTCCTGGTTTTGTTTATACTACATCATTTCCACAATGATATACATAAATGTACCAATACAAACTGGAATAAACATTAAGTGGAAGTGGATAGGCTAACATTTCAGTTTTGGCGAATACAAATGTCATTTCACAATTTTATTTTGTGATAACGTGATGTTGTTTGAACTGTTGCCAAATATAAGAGAATTTTCACCTACTATTTTCGTGCCTAAAGAGGGTATATATTTATGCTTTCCTTTGAACAAGTCGCTATATCGCTGAGATTCTGTATATGCAGCGCTCAATGTAAAAAAGTCACATATTTTTTTCCGTTTGACCTATAATTGAAAGTACATGCAACTGTATAAATGCATCGGGATAAGACTATAATAGATTGTAGTAATATAAGACATTTTTTCTGATTGTTGTAGTTGTATTTACAAGATAATCTCCGTTTTTTACAGACGCATTCCCTATCAACCATGAGTAAGATCACGATACTCGTATGTGGAGCCGGAAGTTCGGCTCAGGTGATAGCAGGTCTCGCAGCATCGCGCGAGAATATTGAATCGAGAGTGCTGTCCCTTTTCGAAGATGAAGCCGAGAGGTTTACAAACGCTTTGAAGGAAGGGGACTTAACTCTATCAATTAACGAAGGCGAGGATGAACCAAGAATCATCAAATGCAAGCCCAGAGTTGTTACGAAGGACCCATCCAGAGCGGTTAAAGGTGCCAACTTCATCATCTTGACAGTGTCCCCAGGGGAACAAGAGGAATACCTCCAGGCCATTGCACCCCATCTGGAAAATGATACGACCGTTGTGGGATTCCCAGGCCATGCTGGCTTTGAGTTCCTATGTTTGGGGACACTCAAGGCCAAAGTCAAGAGATGTGCTGTTATTAGTTTTGAATCAATGCCTTATGCTTCTCGGATAAGAGAGTTCGGGAGAAATGTTGCGGTTCTAGGAATTAATGAAATCGTTCGGGGAACTATGGTCAAAGGAAAAAGCAAGCAGCCTTATGATCCATTCTCAGTTCTGCAACAAGTTCTAGGGGAGTTCCCAATACTAGAGCGGTACAGCAACTACCTGGAACCGCTACTAGCCACAAGCACTGTTGTCAACCCAGCCATTATGTTCGGGAAATGGAGGGACTGGGATGGTACACCTTTGGACTCAAAACCTTTGTTCTATCAGGGAATCACAGAACAAGATGCCAAGTTCCTTACAGGTATCAGCGAGGAGTGCGTAGAGATAGCCCAAGCCATCACAAAAAAGAACCCTAAAATTGAACTCTCCTGGGTTATTCCCCTTTACGAACTCTTTATGGAAGAATTCATGGATAATGCTGAAGACTCCAGCAATCTTCTCAATCTGATGAAAACAAATTCCGCTTATGATGGTGTTTTTCATCCAATGACCCCAACAGAGGATGGCAAATTTGTCCCTGATTTTTCCTCCAGATATCTAACCGAAGATGTACCTAGAGGGCTGGCAATCTCCAAGGGTATTGGGCTTCTGGCCGGGGTGAAGACTGTTTTGCATGACAAGGTTTTGGAATGGTGCCAAGAGAAGATGGGAAAGGAGTATCTAGTTAGGAGAAACATGAAGGGGAAAGACATCGGGGAAACAAGGTGTCCTCAGAGGTTCGGGCTCGAGACCCTAGATGACCTACTGAACATGGTGTAAAACACATGTTATTTACCAAACCGGGGTATTGTGGATATGAGGCTGTTTGGTTGAATGCATGCTTTCTCTAAAACTATCTTGAGATGCGAATATGACCAGTTTTCATGGTATCCAGTAGTGTTACAGATTTGATCTTTGATCACTGATAATTGCTGATTAGGATTTCTATTAAAATCAGGTAGATCAAAACAGATATATGCCCAAAAAGTGGTTAATCGGTTTAGTTAAATTTTGGGCAAGAAACAAAAATATTGAAATGCATAGTTACCATCATACACTTCAATAAGCTCCAGAGCCGATACCATAGTGGAATCGAAGGGTTACCAACCGTAACATTATAAACTGGATTTGTAACAATACATTTTATATCATTCGCTCATGTGGACATTTGACAGAAAACAATGTTTACGTCATATTGATATACTCAAGTTTGCTTGTTTATGACATGCTTGCTCACTGCGCGCGCTTGGAATTCATGTGAAATCAGTCGTAAGGCCACTACAACTTTACCCCACTCTGCCTTTGCCAAATGGTGAGAAATTCACAGCATGGGATTTATATTAGAGAGATGACATTTGTTTCGATAACTGTTTTTTTTCTTCTCTGGAACTAGGAGCCGAAGAGTTTAATTTTTACCAAATATTTTTTATGACATCGATGCAAATTATATTTGTTTAATCCAGTCTCCCTAAAATAGGTATCGGTATTCCTTCCAAGATGAAAAAAGACAAACAAACTCTTTAAATGAATATTCAGTGTTAATTCATACCTTTTCAAAGTTGCAACTGTTCTCTAACGAAGCGGGGCCACGGATGGCCCAGTCGTCTAAGGCGCCGCGATTGGCTGTGCAGAGAAGCGTCCCTTGGGCACGCCAGAAACCTTTGATTATGGGTTCGAATCCCGGTTGCCCCGATTCTGTTTCTAGGTTTGTCAGCACCATACCGAAGTGGCAAAACGTCTGAGACCTGGATCACTTCGGGCTTTCCTCCGACAGTAACCTGACACGCCGCGATATAACTGGACTAATGTCAAAAGCGGCGTTAAACCCAACTCACTGTCACTCGTTCTAACGAAGCTATTGTTCAAGGTTACAAGTGACGCAAATTGATGGCCGCTTGTGGAAGCATGGCAGCCCACGGCAAAGGTTGAGTGTCGCAGTGCGGTTCTGTGACTACGGGGGTCCTTATGACATGTGTGACATGCTGGTTTATGTACAGTCGGGGAATGTTCAGCATCTTCTTTGTACATACACTTGTTGTTATTGCTCAGCGTCAATGGTGCAAATGCGTTCGTATCAAACATTGATCATATTGTGTGAATGTCTATTTCTCTTATGTAGAGATTCTGCCAGATCATCTTGCCGTTTATTCACCTGGATTAAACAAGCTTGCAGTGTGTAGTGGTAATAGTTGATAGTTGATAGACGTTTTCGAGTACATTTCTTTATGTTTAATAAATCTAACGAAAGACTCGTTGCATATTCATGTAGTTAAATGCTAGTATTGGGTACATTCGGATACTCACTGCAGAGCAGAACCTGTCGCTCTTTTTTCTTCGGCTATCATACATATAGGTATTGTTTCGTTACTTGACATATTTCAGAAACTCCCGTCATTAGCTCAGTATGCAGTGTTTCACATGAACAGATCTGGCGTAGTTTTTGGATTTACTTTTACTGACGCTTCAGACGGTTTACATACTCATTACATTGTACAAAGTAACCTTATGTGTTATTTATTAAATTGATATTGATTAAATGGCGATACGATATATATTAAAGGATAAATGTAAATATTTTGTTATGAAATTGTGTATACCTTACAGTGTAACTTTAACACAATGTCATATGCAACGAAAGCCAAACCTATCCCCCCTCTGCCTGACGGCTATCTGGGGCAGGGAGCCACAAAACGCATTTACACTAATTATGGTAATTTTTCAGGATATTAATTTTGGAAATACCCGTTGATATGAAGTAAGTTTTTTATGTTATTTTTAAAAAAACCTTTGCATATTGTTTTTATGGGAACTATCAGGGATAGGTTGGAAATAACATTGTCATTTGTTTTTACACTTTAACACAGTTAACCGCAGAAACAAATATTTATAAAGTTAAAGATCGATGATAAAACCACGTCCGATTTCCCTCTCTTCTCCATATGTTAACGTTGCACATTTGTTTATTTGTTGTATAACTGTCTATTTTTATCAATAAAAGTTAACTTTCATGTATGTTTTGTTATATTATATAATACAGGTGGAACATACATTAGAGTGAGTGAGTGAGTGAGTTGTGTTTAACGCCGCTTTTAACAATATTCCAGTTATATCGCGGCGTGTCAGCTTAATGTGGGAGGAAAGCCCCGAAGTGATGCAGGTCTCAGACGGTTACGAACATACATTAGAGAAAACAGTTTGGCATAGTTACCCCTTTACGTGTTTGTTGTAATATTCAAACAATAGGGCGGCGGTCTGTACATAATCGAGCCTGGACCAGACAATCAAGTGATTGATATTGTGAGCAACATCCAACGCCATCGGTATACAATGACATGTTATCAACGGGCCGGGTATCCGATCCATTAAGTCGCAGAGGTTACTGCAGGGGGCGTATTCGAATCCGGAGTACCGCGGGAACTATTCAAATGCAGACTTGATTAGTGTATTACTGTTATTGGTAGTTCTCAAAGTTTTGGCAGCACTGGCCTACTGATATGTGGATCGGGTGACTTGGCTGATCACGTGTCTTTGTGGACCGCTGCTCAGGGTTCCGGTCGCTGATTTTCCTGTTCCAGACTAAAACCGTCTAAAACAAACATCACTTCGGGCTTTCCTCTCATATTAAGCATTTACGCCGTGATATAACTGTTAAAAACGGCGTTAAACCCAAATCACTCACTCATTCACCCAAAAATATCACGGCGACTTGTAAATAATCCCGTCGGGATTGACAGCATGGGTGACGACCCCATTCGTCAACACTCGCCCCTTTCCGTAAACTCCAAGAAGACTCGTCCCACCCTATCGATGACTGTTCTGTGCGCAAGTACGACAAACCAATCAGAATTGCGCGTATGACATCAAGTACTTCAGTCAAAGAATCGAACAGGAACATTTTTTTATTTTGCACATGTTTTGCATCTAAAATATATACCTTAGATACAATTAAATGTGTTCAATCATACTGTATAAATACCCTAAGTCCCGATGTGTTTTAAATAACATCTGGAATATATATGACATGGCGGGTAAATACGTGAACTATTACGCAACAATTATTTTAACTATGCCCGATTGCGCTCAGACGGAACCCAGTCTCAAAAATAGCCACGATAGATGCACGAGTCGCTATTCGGCTTGTCCCGGAATAACACGAATTGGTCACGAATGCGACGACCCATGCTACCGAGGTATGAAAATAATGAATAAGTAGGGTGACGCCATCGTGACCACCCAGTAAAGCTTTCAAATATGTTTTGGTATATTTGTGGAGGACTTTTCTAAATTTGATGCTTCCGTGACAAAAACTATGTCCGGTGTAATTCCTTAGTTTGACTTGTACCACCCGTTCATCAACTGTATCTGTTGACAACTGATCTTTCTATATTTCAGTCTCGTTAGTATCACATATTGTACTCCGATTCTACGCCCCTTTCCGTCAAGATCTTTTTTATTTGTAGCAATTGTGTTTACTGTTTAGAGGCTCAATTGTTTTTCAACATGTGCAGGTACTGAGATATTTTGAACTTTGTTCTTTGGACACTTGTCTGCCAGAGAAGCGCACATTAATTGTTTCCTACAGTGCGAGGAATATGGCAAAAATATCAGTAAAGTCGGGGTTTGATCACTTTTTTTGGAAAAAAATATTTCAAAAAGCGTCATACGACTCTTGCTCAAAAGTTGTTTGATCAGGGTTACAACATTTAAGGCACCAGTAAAGCTTTCAAATATGTTTTGGTAGATGTGTGGAGGACTTTTCTAAATTTGATGCTTCAGTGACAAAAACTGTCTAGTGTAATTCCTTATTTTGACTTGTACCATATGTGCCCGTGTTTTTACAGGCGAACATTTGCCTGCCTTTGCATGTGTTTGTGACAGGTGCCCCCGGTGGGGCAGAATACGCTCACCCGTTAGCGAACACCTGGTATCAATACTGCTTGATAGTGATTCATAAACACATGCTCATGATATAGTCGGAATCGTGCAACAGACTTCTCATTATGGAAATGATTTTGTATCTTTTATTTGATCGTATGAGCAACCTTCCACTCCGTCGGGGAAGATTCCGCGCAATATTCCAAGTCACTGAACCTGACAGCCCGATCCATTAAATTGCCTCGTATGACCAGGTAAGGTTGTTGGGGGCCTATTTTAACACGGAATATCCATCGGGGTGGAAAGAAATTCACACAAATGTTCCACTGATAGGAAACCCACGCGCTGACTGGCTGATCAGAAAGTTAGCTGACCACATGTGGGGGGTTGACAGATCTTGACAGAGAGAGGTATTGAACCGGAGTCTCTATCTTTATGAATTAAAGCGGGAATGCCTTTTTTACCATTACTTGAAAAAGTGTTTAGACTCCTGTCGCCATTGTAAGTCAACTCACCGTCTCCGTTGTCTAGTGTCAAGCGTCTACCCGGAGAGGGAAAAGTCGGTGGTTCGATCACCAGCGGATCATACTAAAATACGTTGAAATTAAATGAGGGGATCAAAAAAGGACTGGTCGGCTTGGAGTCAGTATGCAGTGTCTGAGTTGGGTATCCATGTTAAAATACGGCATGGCATCCCAGTTGTCCAGCACTGTAAACGCTCGTCACGCCGATGACCTGGGTTTGATTCCCGACATGGGTACAATGTGTGAAGCCCATTTCTAGTGTCCCCCGCCGTGAAATTACTGGAATATTGCTATAAGCGGCGTAAAACCATACTCACTCTCCTACTCATTCAGGTAAGCTATCTGTTTTATGTATGCAATAATTTCAGATTAATCCTAGCG